ACCAGCATACAATATGAATCAGTTTATTCAAATACAGTTGAGCCTTGAACAAGTCAGGGGTCCTTGGTCCCAAGGCACCAATCCCTCATGCAATAGGAAATATGCATATAACTTTTAATTCCCCTAAAACTTATCTGTTGACCAAAGTCTTGCTGACAACATTGTCAATTAACACATATTTTGTATGTTATATGTATTACATACAATATTCTTATAATAAAATAAGCCAGAGACAAGGAAATGTTATTTATAAATCATAAAGAAGAGAAAATACATTTACAGTTCTATGTATTGAAAAAATTCCATGCATAAGTGGAAGCATGCAATTCAAACCCATGTTGGTCAAGGGTCAACTATAGTTTTATATGAAGAATTTTAAATCTGGCTAAAATGGATGATACAACTGTGATACAAAAGAAGATTTTGTAGCCAAATACAGAGAGGAAGCTTTGTTATTATGTATCTATTACCAACACAAGTCCTCCTTCAGTCAGTTCCTGGCCTTCTGGAAAGAGCTCAAGTTGCTTCAGCATTGTAATCTTCAAATCCAGGCCCCAGGTTCACATCTGGATTGCTGATCCTTTTTAGGGCATTTATCATAGCTTTTTACCATAATGTTACTTTGGGCAAAGACATTTTCTGGACTTCTGAGAAGACTGAATTAGATGGTAACTAAGGAATCCAGGTTCTAGAATTCTACAATTCTGAATTTTCCTTGACAAAGATTATTTTAAATATGTTGTTTTATTCAGCAGATATGTATTAACCTACTGGTGCAAGTCCCTATTTAGACAAAAAAATGCATTGCAGATGGAGGATAAAACGTGTCCAAAGTCTTTAAAGTAGAAAAGAAGATGAAGCATTTGTGGAACTGAAAGAACAAAATGGCTGGAACTTAACCGAGAAGGTGAAAATGCTGTTAAAGATGAGGCTGGTAAAGTAGGCAGGGAGGGCCCAGTAGATCGATTAAGGATTTAGGAGTTTATCCTAAGAGCAACAGGAAACCTTTGAATGGTTTTAGTGGGAAGGTGCTTTGATCTGATTTTTTTTATTTTTTAAGATCATTATAGCTTTTGTGTGAGAAATGGATTAGAGGGTGGGCAGAGAGACCATGGAATGGCCTGTTTGAAGCTGTTATTACAGTAGTATGGCTGAGCCACCCTGGCTAAGACTAGGATGGGCTCATTGGAATTGGAAAAAATGTGAATAGATTCAAGATATATTCAAGGACATGGGGTGCCTGGGTGGCTCAGTCGGTTAAGTGTCCAGCTCTTGGTTTCGGCTCAGGTCATGATCTCATGGTTTCGTGGGTTCAAGCCGCACATCAGGCTTCGTACTGGCAGTGCTGAGCCTGCTTGGGATTCTCTCTCTCTCCCTCTCTCTGTCCCTCCCCCCACTTGCACTGTCTGTCTCTCTCAAAATAAACAAATAAACTTAAAAAAATAAGCTAGGGGCGCCTGGGTGGCGCAGTCGGTTAAGCGTCCGACTTCAGCCAGGTCACGATCTCGCGGTCTGCGAGTTCGAGCCCCGCGTCAGGCTCTGGGCTGATGGCTCAGAGCCTGGAGCCTGTTTCCGATTCTGTGTCTCCCTCTCTCTCTGCCCCTCCCCCGTTCATGCTCTGTCTCTCTCTGTCCCAAAAATAAATAAACGTTGAAAAAAAAAATTAAAAAAAAAATAAGCTAAAGATATATTCAAGGATGTAGATTTAATTTAAAAAAGCAAGTAAAAGATGATTCCTAGGTTTTTAGTTTGTGAAACTGGGTGGATGCCAATACTATGTACTGAGTAAAGAATCTCGGCAGAAGACTAGCTTTGGAGAGGGTCTCATGCTCTTGGATCCTCCAAAAGATCCTGTCATCAGTCTCCACCCTGTTTTCCTCTGAATTCTGTTTGCATAGGCTGATTGTGTTGCCTTGCAGATATGGGTCCTTTGGTCAATACCACTGACCATTGTGGTTGGAGATGGGATGTTTGCATTGTTGAGTATGGAAGACCAGGTTTAGAATTTAAACTTGGTACTGGATGACCAGACTAAGTAAGTAAAATGCTATTAGAAAAGAGAGGGCTTTAGAATTAGAATTAAAATTTTGGGTGGCAGATCTCTGCTTTGTTTTTCCTTTTTTCCCAAAATTTTCTTAATGGAATAATTAGAAAAATAAAGTAGCTTTTTTTATCTACTGTAATTACACATCCATTCAAGCTTTAGTCTAACTTTTCTATTTATCTTTTATGCCAGAATTAAATTGTGTTAAATATGACAGGTTAGCTTACATCTTAATAGAATTTGCTAAATTTAAGCAATAAAGACATGCTAAACTTGTAATAAAAATTGATTGTATAACTCAGAGAATTGGTTTTGTAATTCTAACATTTTGTATTTCTACCATTCAAAAGCATTCTTAGTAACACCCCTAGGTATCATTCAAAATGTACATATAAAAAAAGGCTACATTTGTAAATATATTAAACATATACATATATATATGCATATATACTAAATATAGCTATATTTCAGGGACATATCCTCAATCTGACTTTTTCTAGGCCGGAATACCTTAAGAGTCACATGATACTATCAGTTTTTAATTGATAATGTTCACAAGGAGGAGTAGTGATTTCTGAAATATCTTTAATCTTATACTTTAACATGGAAACTGATCATTTCACTTGTAATTGCAGACTCATGGAATTAAACTGAAAGGAAATTTAGAGATTGTTTAATCTAGTGGTTTTCATAATGTGGTCCCCTAATCAGCAGCAGGTTGTAACACCTTGGGAACTTATTAAAAATGCAAATTTTCAGGTGCACTCCAGACCCGCTGAATCAGAAACTCTAGGGGTGGGGTAGAGTAACCTGTTTTAACAAGCCTTTCCAGGTGATTTTGATGCCACATTTTTAAAGTTGGAATTATGTGTTCCCATAGACATTAGCTGAAATTCGTAACACAAAACAATGGACTTTGTCTTAAAGATCCTACCTCAGGCTGCTCAAAAGACGTCTTTTATGTAACTCCACCTTGTTTCCCATTCCATGTATATTAGTTTTCTGCGGCTGCTGCAACAAAGGACCACTAATTTAGCAACTTAGCAAAAATTTATTATCTTACAGTTCTGTAAGGTCAGTGGTCCGGACGTTCTGTCTCACTGAGTTAAAATCAAGGTGTTGGCTTTGCTTTCTGGAAGCTCTAACAGAATCTATTTCCTTGCCTTTTCTGAAAGCTGGCTTCCAGAGGCCACCCACATTCCTTGACTTCCCACACCTTTTTCCATTTTCAAAGCCAGTATGCATCTATTTTTAAATGAGATTATTTTTTAAAACTGTATTTTGGAGTCTGTACAAATGAGTCCAGTCACCCACATCTGCCTGTTATTTACACACCTCAGTATTATACTGTCACTGGCACAGACTATGTCATAGAGCATCACAACTGGATCATTCAACATCCTCAAGCAACAAATTATAATAAATTATACTCGTTATGTTACTTACACTAAATCAGGAAAGGTTATTCATGTTAGGATAAGGTTTTAAAAGAAGTTTTAAAGGGAAAGATTTTCTGCCTATGCCTTGGCTAACAGGACAAACTAATTAGAGCAGTTCATTCCTCAAAGACTGCACTTTAATCATACCTTTTCTGCATCAATTTAGTGGCTGTTGGACTTTCAATGATACATAGCAGAAATTTTCGTTTTTTAAAGAGGAATAATGAGGGATTTAAGAAAAATGTTCGCTTAGAGGACTACACACCTAAAAGAATTGAGTTTTGGTGGTGGAGCCAGGCATCACTTCCCTTTCCTGTATTCCAGATTTTCGTTAATGAATGCCTTACTTTTATAATTGTAAAAAGCCAAAGAAAAAAGGAAAAGAAAAAATAAACATGATATAATAACCTGCAATTAATTATAAGACCTGATTTGTAAGGCAGGGTATGGGTTTTGAAGTCTCAGGCACGTATGACAGGATTTTTTTTTTTT